TTTTTCTCTGTTTCTTTTCTTGCCTTATAGTAGGTTGCTTAAGCATTTTAAAAATTATTTTGCTTTTTCTTTAGTGTTTTTGAGTGTATCTCTTTGTATAGGTTTTAGTGGTTGCTCCAGGTATTACACTATATATACACAGGTTATAAACTACTGGAATTACCATTTTACTAGTTAAAATGTAGAAAACGTACCACTTTTTAGCATCCCTTTATCCTGCCCTGTAAATAATATAATTGTTTTCAATATTTCCTCTACATACACTTGCCAAGAGAAATTAAAATGTTTATGTATACAAAGACTTGTACTGAAATGTTCAGAGCAACATCATTTATAATTTTGAGAAAATTAGTAGTCAGTAAAGTAGCAATTGGATAAACTTATCTGTAAGTTTTCTATCTATCATTCACATATATCCCTTATACTACTATGCTATGCTGTGCTAGCATATGGTTTATAAAATCTCAAGTAGAGTGGGTGTTGCATGTAAGTCAATAAGTAAAAGATATGTTTAAAAATGACTTTTATGAGGACTTTAACGGGAGCAAGAAGATGAGAAACTGACACTGAGAGGCCTAAGAAGGCACAAGCCAGTTCTTGAAGAAAAACAACAGAAGCACAGAAAAGGCAGAATAATCAGTTTTATTTTGCTGATAAGCATAAATATTTTTTAAATAAATGGAAAAACTATTTGGTGCATCTTATAAATTGTCTTTAATCAGCTTTTCTGAATGGTTCATAGAGGTTGTTTTTAGCTTTAACATAAAGCATTTAATGGTTTCCATTAGAAATTAAACACTAGCACATCATTCTTCCTATTGGTTATTCCTTTAACAAATGTTTCAAATCTATTCCTGTGGCAAATACGGACAGTAGGATAAAACACAGAGTACAGGGCATCTTGCTAGTTGAATGGTCTAAAGAATGTTCTGATAAAGTTTTCAGTAGCATAATCCTTAAAATAGCCAGCTAGGTGGGTGGAGTTGTTGTTACTGTTCTAGAAATAGATTTTCTTACAAATGTCAGGGAGCCTTGACAGAACTTTGATTGATAGTTTTACAACCATTTACCTTGTTTCAGACCAATCATTTTCTTGTCCTCCCAGAGCAAAATGTTCTAACAGTCACCAAATATGAGAGTGAGAAAGCACCACATCTTACTCATGCCACTCTAATTCCCAAATCCAATTAGCATTCAGCCTTGCCATGAAGCTACCCTTCTAATGCCTTTAGCTACATGCAGTTCTGGGGCTCTGATTAAAAACAGTGGGTGGCCTTGGTCACTTAAGTTGCTTCTTATAAAATCATGGGGAACCTAACAGAGAAAGAGAATAAAGCCCAACAGAAGGGTAAAGATTGCATAATAATTCCAGAGAAAACCACATTGTCATATTCCAAGAAAGACATTTTCATCTTAAACAGTTCATTAACAAAATCAGGTGAGAAAGATGGAAAACCAGTTAATACTCATATCTTTGCAATACTAATTCAAACAATATGATCTAGAAAGGAAACAAAACACAAATATTGTGCCTACTATACACCATATACTCTTCACAATTATATTATCACATTCATTCTCATAATGATCTTCTGAATTACATGTTATTTTCCCCATCTACAGAAGACGTAAATAAAGACCAGAGAGGCCTAATAACTTATTCACATTTGTGGGTCAAGTAAGTAGCAGAGAAGACTTTAGATCCATGTCTTTTTTTTTTATTGATTATGCATATTCATGGAGTACAAAGCTGACCTTCACCACCTGCACCCAGGATGTGATGGTTGGATCAATTGTATCAGGATGCCCATTACCACAAATTGTGATTATTCCTCAGATCCACATCTTTTTAATTCTAAATAATGACCAATGTATGTTTGGGGGATTTTTTTTTTTTTTTTTTTTCTCCCACACATACCATAACATAATTTTATTTCTAATCTGTCAATTTGAGATATTTATTTTAAATATTGCTATAGTTTATTGCTATAATTATATACAAATATGAGATGTATTTGACAACTGCCCTGAGTGAAAGAATACTGCCCAGTTAATAAAACAAATATATGTAGCTTTGGGGGTATTCAACAAATAACTGTTAAAGAGAAAATTTCATCAGGTAATAAAGAACACAATGTAGCTATGAAGAAATAATGAAAAAGGTTTCTATATTCTGCTATGGAAATATTTCCAGCATTTAAATAAAAAAAAGTGGAGCACAAGAGAATATATACCTTAGAGAAGCTCTGTTTAAGAAGGGGGAGGTATAGTAACATGTATTAGATTTTTCTTGTATTTTCAAAAAGAAACACTAGAAAGGTGAATTGGATTGAATGGCCCACAGAAGTCATTGAAGTTTAATCCCCACTGTAAATTTTGAGGGTGGGAATCCTATTATGGTAACTGAAAGGTGGGGCCTTGAAGAGTGATTAGATTCCAATGATGGCCAAGGCTAGTGAATGGATTGATAATGGTGGTCATGAGCGTGGTTCTGAGGGCTTTAAAAGGACAGCATGTCCTTTTTAAATGCTCCACCATTTTCTGCCATGTGAGATCCCTGCATTGCTGTAAGACCACCACCAAAGAAGACTCACCAGATGTGATCCCTGAAGTTTGGACTTCCCAGCCTCCGAATCTGTGAGCAGTTAATTTCACTTTCTTACAAATTACCCAGCTCTGCATATTTTGTTACAAGCAACAGAAACAAACTAATACAAAAGGTAAATAAGAATCTAATGGAAAGAGTTTCCAATAGAAAACCGTAGGCAAGGGAAGGGATGAATAGGGAGAGTCCCTTATTATTAGGGAATAAGACTTCCTGTAACTAATTTTCTGTTCCATCCAAGAAAACAGTTAGGAGGCTTGAGACCTCAGTTGGGAAAAAAACCCCAAAAAACAAAAAAACGAATTTACATTTTAGCTTTTTTTTTTTTTTCCCTAGCTGCACGGCATTTGCAGGTTACTTAAGATTTCTGAACTTCAGTTGTATCACTTCCAGTAATTATGATATTGACTTCAAAATGATGTAATTAAAATAAATAAAATGATGAATGTAAGGTATTTGGCACATATTAAGTGCTTTATTAGAGTTAAAAAATCTCCATCATTATCACCATCACTCCTATCATTTATTTCTGGGTCAAGGAATAGAAGTAGAATGGAAATAGATCATATCTTTTGGAAGCCACTCAGAGAAGGCCTAAAACTAGGAAAGACTCAAGTCGAGTAGTTAGACAGTGATATGCAGAACTAAAGGGAGATATTCATGTTTTAGGTGAAGTCAAACACTTTTTCTAATCTTTCTATAAACAAAAACCGTGGAATGCTGAAATATCTTCATGCTTACAATAAAAATTGGCTAGTAGACTCAAGTGAAGAGATAGATACTAAATCAAAGAAAAAAAAATTCTGTTGAGCAAACTTGAAAATTACTCTGCAAATGTAATGTTAAAGTAGTTTTGGTTTGTTTAATATAGTTACATCTCATCTTTCTGAATAAAGGCTTTGAGGAAAAGGCATTCCTGATATTTTTTCTGTTCAAATACTTTCAATCTAATTCACTAGAAAAATTTCCCCCATGGAAACACAATGCTGATCTTATAAAAATAAATTCTGTAGGAAATGACTTTCACTTTAAACTGAATTTCTTGAATTCATCATTTAAGAATAAACAAATTAAATCTATAAAGAAAATGTTCTTTCAGCAGAAGCACTAACAGTTTAAAGAGAAAAAGAAAATACAGGTATGTGAAAATATACACAAATGCAAAAAGCAAAGTGAGGCCAAATCACTGAGATTCTTTGTATGTAATATACATTTTAGAGGAAAGAGGAAAGTGAAAACACAGGACCCAGGGACCAGGGAAGCTTCTTAGAATTACTAGAGAAAAAGGTTGCATTGTCTGTTCTGCATAAATATTATGGTGACATCCAGGAAAAATAATGTCAGCCATTCTTGCAGAAAGCTCTCAGAAATAAATTCTACAAGATAGAAATGCCATATAAAATTGCTTAGATTCAGAAAAACAATAAACAGAATTATTGGATTGCTCCCTTCATCCCACTTGACTGGGACATGGCATTCCCACCACTGCTGTCCCAAAAAAACATTCCTTCCTTTTCTCCCTACACGACTCACCTGTGACTCTCAAATACCATATTGCCCCTTCCTGTTTCCTGGAGGCAATGATTGTGCTTTGACCCCTGTGTCTGAGTCCCCGAGCCTCATTAGGATATTCAGCTTTTACAAATCAGGGATGACTATATGAGTTTTAAACTGTCTCTTAAATACTTTGTGTAAGTAATGCTCAATAGTTTTCACAAAGATGATTAATATTGCTTGCCAGGAGCAGAATGATGTACAGACATTTTTGTTTTTATAAAGAGTGCATGCATAAGTTGACTTTAGTAGAAAAAAAATATGATAAAATTATCTCCTTAAAAAATTCTTATATTACATTTGTGATGGTTAGTTTTGTGTGTCAACTTGACTGGCCATGGGGTACCCAGATTAAACATTATTTCTGGGTGTGTCTGTGAGGGGGTTTCCCTACAAGATTAACTTTTGAATTGGTGGACTCAGATCACCCTCGCCTATGTGAGTGCGCATCATCCAGTCCATCCACTGAGAACCTGAGTAGAACAAAAGGTGGAGGAAGGAGACATTCTCCCCCTTTTCCTGTCTGCCTCATTGAGCTGGGACATCCTATCTCATCTTCTCCAGACCTTGAACTGGTATTTACACCACGAGTTTCCCTGGTTCTTAGATCTTTGAACATGGAATGAATTATACCACCAGCATTCCTGGCTCACCAGCTTGCAGGAGTCGCACTGTGTAATTTATTATAATAACTTCATCTCTCTCTCTCTCTCTCTCTCTCTCTCTCTCTCTCTCTCTCTCTCTCTCTCTCTGAAAAAAAATAGTTTTGGATAGTGGTGTGTGTCTATGTTTTCAGGATGCCTTAGCCATGTTCTAAAAAATATTTTTTCATTTCCAGAGATATTATTTTCTGGCTATTTTTCACATTTTGTAGGTGAGTTAAAGCTATATAAACCACTTAGTAAATGTGCATCTTGATTTCAAGTCTTGTATAAGATACAAATTAGTAGCATCCAAAATGGCTATGTGCATGCTGCAGTGATACTATAAATTCATAAAGCCCTCTGGTTTTCCATGAGTCTTTAGCACCCCCAGCCTGTACTGGCTCATAATGTGAAGAGTGGGTCGATGTAGGAGTGGGAAAAACAGCACCTGGTTATGCTTACATCATATGTCACTGAGTGTGGAGGATAGATAACAAGTCTTGCAAATTGTGTGAACTTGGTTTTCAAGTATACGCTGACCGTTTTGGATGTGAAAGATTAAAGGAGACTTGATCTAAGAGAAATCATTGCAAGTTTGAATGATAAAACATTTTATTGGTAAAATATTTATGTTAAACTTTTTCTATTGTTGTCAAGGCTACTGTAACACCATATTCCCAATGTTAATAAGGAAGCATAAGCTACTTGGCACAAAATTCATTCCTGATGCAAACTAGATGGCTTTAACCTCATCTAAGATATATGATATTTAAATTCCATTGGTAAGAATAAACTTTATTATAAATAACCAGTATTCTAGAAATCACTAGTAAGAAATCCCAGAAGATAGCCAAGTGCATATTACAATATCAAGGCAAAATATGCACGTGGCGAAGTATCTATAGTCTCTATTACTACCAAAATTGGCAAGTGAAAAAATTTTCAGTAAGGATATGTTGATATAACTTTCTTTTTTTCTTTCTCTCTCTTCAGGCTGTATTCCAGCCCTGATGATGTCCACAAGTTTTTCTCCAGTTGTCTGTACCAAGAGATGGTTTCTGTCCATGTCTCTATGTTTTAAAGAGCCTGACAAATGCTGCTAGGAAAATCTGAGGACCTCATAAGGACAATGAATATCCTAAATTATGTTCACTACAAATGCAACATTGTGATCCGTAGAGAGCATACATTTCAAATAAGACCTCAAAACGCTGCCTGAACCTACTGACCTGATATGCTATTGAAAGATATACATTTGCTTTTCAAGGACCCAACCTTTCTTAAATTAGAAAAACATACCATTAAAATTTTAATTTTAAATGTGAAATAAATGTGGGGTTGCTGTTCTTAAATATTTTTTTAAAGAAGACGGGATAAGAAAATTATTAATTGTGCAGCCCATAGTTCCTGAACTTTAAAATAGTTTATAGCATTAAAATTTTATTAAACAATTTAAGTACTTGATCATTTTATTAAATCATATGACTACATTTTATCGACCCCAGAATGGAGCCATAGGCTTGTGTTTCCTAGCTGGCTTTACCTTCAGAATAAATCTGGATTTTACCTAGATTGCTCTCATAACATTTTAATTTTACATTGAGAACATCTTTCATGTATAATCACAATGCACATCTGCAGTTAGTACATTAGTACATTTTGTACTATTAGTAATGTTTTGTTTGCTATCCTGGCTCCTTCTTTTAAGCATATGAGTAGCAACTAATATATTTATTTCTTATCAATTAACCCACTAATATTTCTAATCTAAAAGCAACATTCAAATACATTGCATTATAGAATTTGTGAAGTAGTTTGCTTATGAAACATAATCTGAATATGCTTCAAGTTATTTTAATTTATAACAAAAATGGGTTATAGTAAGATAAATTCATACTGTTCTTTACATGAGTCATACATGACACACATTTATATATGTATGTAAATGCCCTCATTAAAATATTGAAATTTATTCATTTTAGTCTCTTTGCTATGTGTCTGTTTTGTTTTTAGAGCTTTCCCTTTGAAAGTATATAAAGTTTGTTAAATATCTGTGTTTGCATGCATCTTTGCATCCTACTTTATAAGATCAATATGCTGCTAAATAAACTGGCCCAATGTATTCGAATCACAAAAAGAGTATTTCAGAACTTGAAAGCACTTCAAGGATCATTTAATCTGACCCCTCATGATGATGAAGTTGAGAACCAGAGCGGTTAAGTGATTGGTGTAATCGTACACTAACTAGCAACCTACAGAAGATCAAGTGTAGTTTTCCTAACTTCTTAGCTTGTGTTTATTCTAAATCAATTAAATTCTGTTACTAGCAGCTAAGACGGGCATTGCTTGAGATTGAGATGAGGAGTAAGTGAAAGAGAAAGTAGTGCAATAATGAACAATTTGCAGCCAGCCTTCTTGGAATTTATTTTGTTGATAAGACTAATACTCTTCATTATAGGAAGTTTTACTTTCTTGCATATTTTATCCCCCACCCCAACTCCACCCTACCACCCTCACATAATTGAGAAACATTTCACGATGGAATTTTACTTTTTCAGGAAATGTCGTCAGGGTTCTTTTGGTACATGCATTAGGTTGTTTACCAAATTATTTCCCCACCACAATGTAAACTGTAGGTAATTCCAACCAGCTACAATATACCTATCATATCACCTCTCTGTTCTACTTTTAAAATTCCCTACCAATATAAAAAATAGGATTGTTCCATGAGGAAATCTGTCATCTCAAAATAAGATGTTTAATTAGACTCTGATGTATGTTGGAAACTACACACACATACACACACAAACACACACAATATGAAATAAATGCAGAGATTAAGACAGTGCCTTGTGACGAAAACATTATTCAAAAAAATGAATATTCTAGGAAACAAAAAGCTTTCTAATTAGGAGAAAAGCTATATGACTTCAGCCATTTAGGAGTGTTCAAATTTCTAGGGTGGTTGAAACTATATCAGTGTTTTTTTAGGCAAGATCGGGAGTGTTCAGGGTGGTATGGCTGTAGATGGTGTTCTTTTATATACATGTACATCAACATTTAGATATTACATTCAAACTTGTTTTTTGTTTGAAATGGTAAACCTTACAATCATGTACCACATAAGGATAATTTGGTCAACAACAGTCTACATATACAACAGTTGTGAGAATAGGCTATACCATATAGCCTGGGTGTGTAGTAGTCTGTACCATCTAGGTTTATGTAAGTAGGCTCTATGATGTTTGCACAATGATAGAATTGTCTAACTCCTATCCCCATCATTAAGCAGTGCATGGTTGTATTGCCACTAAAATTCATTTGGCAGTTGTCATTATATCAAAAGGTTATCATTCTTAGATTAAACAAGATAAGAATAAAATCACATCTAAATATTTTAAAATGCTGAGAGTGGGCTTTTATAAGATTAAAATTTGTGCACTAATCTGAAAAGTTAGTGATGTATAGAAGCACTTCTGGAAACATTCAAGTAGCATTTGTATTGCTGTGTGTTTTTGTACTATTAAGAAGTCTTCACATGTATATAATGCAGTACAAAACCTATTTAACCTGTTTCAAAGCACATGCTGTCAACTATCAGTTCCATGAAGGAGGAACCATGATTGTATTTTTTCATATTTATTCTCAATTCCTTCATTTTGTATCCCCACCTCTTAGCAAAGCTCTCTACATAGAGAAGGTTCTCAATAAATATTTACTTAACGGATGAAACTAAGTACTCCATCAAACTTTTCCTTTTTAACATTCTCACAAAGGCTTACTGTATTTAATTTTTATTCAACATTTAGATATATTTTATTAAATTATATCTTTCTTCGGAATATTTTCAGAATATTTGACAGATATTTGCCTGGTAAGTTGAAACATGTTAAAAATGAGTCATCATTTAAAACTCTTTGCACAGGTTTTCATATTTTTGTCAGTACCTTACAATCCACCATATTAATTTAATCTTTTCACCATGATATGAAGTAAGGCAGTATGTTTATTTGTCAATGAGAGAAGTGAGGTGTGAGAAAACTGAAGCACTATTATTAATTTCTTAGTCTGCTCATTTAGGCTGCTATAAGGAAATATGATAGATGGGGTGGTTTAAACAACAGATATTTATTTCTCACAGTTCTAGAAGATGAGAATTCAAAGATCAAGGTGCCAGCAAATTCAGTTCCTGGTGAGGGCCTGCTTTCTGGTTTGCAAGTAGCTGCCTTTTTACTGTGTGCTCACATAGTCTTTCCTAGGTGTGTGAGAGAGGAGAGAGAGAGAGGGAGAGAGATAGAGAGAGAGAGAGAGAGAGAGAGAGAGAGAGAGAGAGAGAGAGAGAGAGAGATAGCTTCTCCTTATGGGCAGTGATCCCATCATAAGTGTCCCAATCCTCATGATCTCTTCTAAACCTAATACTTCGCTAAGTCCTCACGTCCAAATACCATCACATCAGGGACTAGAGCCTCAACATATGAATTTGGGGGGTACACAAACAATTAGCCCATAAAAATTACTAAAAGACATTGGTGAGTTATTTTTCTTTACCTTATTTTATTTTCTAGTTTCTTGAAGGAAAGAAAAAACATGATAGAAATATCAAATTATCTGTTTTAATAATCTTGCTGATTTTATTAACCAGTTATTTAAGTAAGTGTAAATTCTTCATCTACCAACTTCTTGCAGTAAAATATACTTGTTTGTAATATTATGAGCTGAATTATAAAACTTTCATTATACATAATATTTTGCTATTCAAAGTCCTCATAATTATTATTTTTACCATTAACAAAATAATTATTTTCTATATTGTTTTTACTACCCAAATCTATTCATTTATATAGTGACTATATATTCATTGGCATAGTGGGTATATATAGAGATTAATGCATATTAATTGATATGCATACACTTGCATAATTTTTTAAGTAACTTATGAAAATAAAAATTTGAAAATATTCAAGGAAGTAATAATATGCAATTTACTTGCTGTGCTTTCTTGTATCTGTATTTCAGTGATTAACTGGTATGGGTGTGGTAGGAACAATAATAACCCCCAAAATGTCCACATTCTAATTCCCAGGACATGGGACATGGGACTGCTTTATCTTTTATGGCAAAAAGGACTTAGCAAATGTTATAATGTCAAGCACCTTGAGATGTATAGATTGTCCTACCTTATCTGTGTGTACTTAATGTAATAACAAGCATCCTTACAACAGGGAGGCAGAAGGCCGAAGAGACAGAGAAAGAGTTGTAAGGACAGAAGGATGGTTGGAGTCATTGGGGGTGAGGGGATGTGACCCAAGAAATGCACACAGGGTGCCTGCCCTCTGGAAAAGGGAAGCAAACAGATTCTTCCCTAGAGCTTCCAGAAGAAATGAAGCATTGCTTACCCATTTCGGACTTCTGACCTTCAGAACTGCAAGCTAATAAATTTGTGTTGTTTTAAGTCACTATATTTGCAGTAATTTGCAACAACAGCAGTAGGAAACTAATAGAGCTATTCATGAAGAGAGTTGAAAAATAAACAATATGTTCTTTTCCTTTGAGGAGCTTTATGATTAACAGTAAATTCTTGCTTCATGGTCATTCCATTTCTCCGAGTACTGAACAAACCATCTTTTATGTGTCAAGAACTGAGTTGATTCTTTCAACTTGATTACAATAGAGATAGATAGAAGCCAGGGTAGGGAGGGCTAGACGTAGCAGTAGTTTCTAGAAATAAATGAAAAAATTAAGGGTATATAATATTATATAATTTTATTCATTTAGAATATAATATTTACCATGCAGCTGTACATACTTAGCACCCAATATATGCTGATTTAGGTATAACACATACTTATGTACATGTGGCAAAGCACATACCATTTATTGAATTTGAAGATTATGTGAAAAGCAGTAATCTCGGTATGAAGAAAAGACACTAAGCACAATGAGATTAAGTGCAGAAGCTGGTGAAATTTAGCAAAATATTAAAACAAACGAGATCTAAAATGAGACCACAAGAGAGTGACTGACAGGAGTGGGAGGATTTTTATTTTCATGGAGAGACTGATATAAAGCAATTTGATCTTTTTCTCCTTATATTTTTCATAGTATTGCAATCAAGAAAAGGAACTGAACATTTACTTAATTAAGATGCATCATTAATTTTAGTGTCTTATGAACTTGGAAGGCCTTTCACCCCTTTAATGAAAATAAAAAGAAACTAAGCTTCTTGATTACCAATCCTCTTGGTATCTCTAAATCTCTCTAATGCTTGTACTTCCGATTCAGAACAAATACATACCTTGTAAGAGAATGAAAAACAATCCTTCACATTGATCATGGAGTTTTGCCTCTAAGGAGAAAATATGAATTTATAGACAAAAGACTATATAAAATGAATTCATTTCATATTTATGGAAAGAGACCAAGTCTAAAAGACAATTCAACAAATATTTATTGAGCATTTATTCGACGATCATTTATTGATACTGTTATATATAAGAAGCAAGATTTTAAATGTTAAAAGGATATAAAAATAAGCAAGTTATAGTCTTTATGTCCTAGTTGGAGTATAAGGGGTGTATACTGACAAATATAAATGTCTTTTTGACTCCATCTTATATTTCATTTACATCATCTATCATACTTTTATTAGAAAGAAAAACAAATGTATTGATTGTTATCTCTGCACCAAGCACTTCCTAGAATCATGTGCTGAACAAAATAAAGAATGGACCCCTAGTATTTTACAAATATAAACACTACCGCAATAACAACAACAAAGAAAGTAATAAACCTAGAGTTGAATGACCACGGTTCTCTTTAGCGTAGGCATAAGATCGCAGCAATACATCCACCATGCTTCACTCATTTACGTTACTTACTAGCTGCTGCAAACGTGTAAGTTTGTTACCTACTGCTTGCACTTGTTGGCAGAGGACTTTGCTTAGAGTTTAAGAAGTAGCAGTTGAGTTAGAATGAATG